CCCCAAAACCCCAAAACCCCAAAACCCCAAAACCCCAAAATAATTACAATATTGAATTCCAAGATGAGCAAAGGTATGATTTCGGAATTACAAGGATTCTCAATACTTTGGAGCTCAATGAAATTTTATTTTATAGGAAGATTAGCAATAAAAACAAAACTGTGAGCTGTTAAGCAAGATGAAATCTCCGAAGGAAGTGAGGAAGCAGAAGAATTTAAGAGCTCATATTTGAATGCAATTTATAAGGTGGTTCATAAGAAAAGAGCTCGGAATACAAACACCCATAATCTTTATTCTAATAACAAAAACCACCCTCCTACCCCTTCACCCCCTCCAAACCTCCCATGTCCAATCCCAGAACAAAAATCCTCCAAGGTAATGTCTCAATTTCCCCACTTTCCTCCCCAATCACCCAAAATCCACCCATTGTCTTCCTGCGCCAAAACCCGGCTCTTCAGCCTGTAGAGATTTAGGCTAATTTCTTAAGGAAATTAGCAGAAAATAGGAGTTTGAGTGAGCCAGGAGCTGGTTAGTGGAGAGAAAAGTGGAGGGTTTAGAGGGATTTTTAGGATAGAAGGGAATTTTTAGGAATTAGGGTGGTAGGTTTGGGAATAGGGAATTTTTGGGTGATTGGGAGGGTTTTGGAAGGGGTTAGGCTTGATAGAGGGTTAGAAGGTTTTTTTGTGGTATGAGAGATGGGAGTGTGATGTTGTTAGGTCAGAAAAATCAAATATCGAAGAAAACTCAGTCTTAAATAAAATTATTAAAAATAAGAAGAAGTCCAAGGTAAAATAGAATTCAACATTTTTAATTTTTTTGAATACTAAGTAACTGTTTAGATATTAGGAAAGATTAAAAAGAAGATTCATGGGAAGAAAAAGAGCGGATCTGAGACTAAGAGATCTTCCAAGCTGACAACTCTCACTCATGTGAAAAGTACAAAAGAAAACAATAAGTCTTCTAATTTGGTAAAAGGTGATTCTGATGTTTAAGAAAATAAATTTTGATCGGCAGAAGAGCATTGAATTGAAGTCAAAAACATTAGTTAGGTAAATTTTATTTATAAAAGTGTAGGAAAAGGCAAGAGAAATACAGAGAGCCTAAAAGCATTCATACAACCAGACCTACGTATTTCAAAAATACTTCTGGATTATCGAAGCTAGGTAATCTAACAATTTAATTTTTAGAGTCGATAGACTACACTAAAGTGTCAGTGCTTCCAACTAAGGTCTTTCATAATCCCATCACAATTTCTTTCAAAAAGAATAAGGATCCTAAAAGCCATCCCAGAGAACTCATACTCAGCTTAGATACAGAAGATTGTAAGATCCTTACTATCTCGAACTAAATTTACACCATCTAGTAGGCAATGATGCAAAGAATGATAATTCAAGTTCAAGATCTCAGCAAGGTAGATCATTGCCTCCAATTTCACAGAGTATATAAATTTTATTTTAGAGAAACTACTTTCATGAATCTAACCCTTTTAGCGAGTAAGATCAACCTATATCAACATGCATTCGATGCAGATTCAAACAGGAAGCAGAGAACCCCATTAATCCAGAAGTACACTCACCATATAAAGGAATCTCATCCCTGAGTTCCTGCTATTGAGATGGATAGCCATGATCCTAAGAAGGCATCAAATATTGCCCAGAACTTAATGAGAGCACTTAACGCGAAATACAGAAAAATAGGTATGAAAATCATTAAGTTTGTAGGCAGAACAAGGAGCAAGAAGTTTAAGAAGATCCAGAGTTATAGAGACCAGATCAGAGATGGCTTTGAGTCTACATATCTTGACGAAAAGTAAATTCCTTCCAGAAACTTTACCTTATTTTCTCAAAATTTAAGAGATAAAATAATTTTAAGATTTCTTTTAACTCTAAAGTCTCAGAGAATATAATCAGATTGTTTAGTAAACTTCCAGAATCATTGATATCAAGGAATAAAGCTATTGATAAGACTGACAATTCAATGAAGGTTAAACTTGAGAAACTTAACCTGCAAGGAACCTCCATTCCTAGAATTAGTAGTAAATATTTATAACTCTCAATTGGCCATTGTGATCTCGGGGTTTTGGGGTTTTGGGGTTTTGGGG